TGCTTTAAAGGCATTGCCATTTTCCCTGCAAATTTGCCATATTTTTATTTTGTGTAAAGAATCCCCTCGTCCTGTCAATCACTGTCAGCCCAAGCCTGAACTGACTAAGATATGAGAAGAAAGATAGAGGATCATCTCCTGATGTGCAGGCTCTCTTCCCTCCCTGTATCCCTGCCTTTCAAAATAAATCAAGGCTAACACAACTGTAAAAATGTAACTATTTGAGTAGCTGCAAATACTGCTTTAGAGAAATAAAAATAAGGTTTTTTTCAAGAGGTTTTGCAGCTGAGTTTACATTATTAGATCAGAATTGACCCTTCCTGAGTAATTTCAAACTCCATGCAAAGTATTTAGGACTGACTTATAATGTCCACATTGTGTTTTTAAAAGATTACTATTAAAGAAACGTCTGACAAGTAAAGTAGCTTACGGTAATCAATTAGAATATGAGAATGAAACTAATTCAGTAAAACATTGCTAACGCTGATCTGGCAAACCACTGGTAGCCATCTGTCTAATCCTCTTCTTGTGTTTAGAAGTTGCATTTAAAAAAAAAAAAAAATTATTAATAGTGCTCATTAGCTGCCAAGCAAAAGAGCATGCCACAAGCTTCTGCTCAGAGATTACCTAATATTAGCAAATACTACTCCCTTTTCCAAGTTTGAGCTGGAACCCGCTGCATGATCTCAAGGCCAGGATGAGTTTTTCTAGTGGGGTCCACAGGGATACGAGAGAGACCGTAAGGGGTGGGCCCAAGGACAGGTGCATCACGCTGCCGACGCCGACCGCCTTCCTACGGCCCTGCAGCACCACCGGCTCCTCAGCCTCCCCACTAGACAAACTATTCCAGTGCTGCACTATCCTTACTGTTAGGAAGGGGGTTTGATGTTTAAAGTGAATTTTCCTTGGTGCAATTTAAGTCCATTACTTCTAGTTGTGTTAATGCACGTGGAATACAGTTTGCTCCTTTCTTCTATGCAGTAGCTTTTTATGTATTTGAAGACTGTTGTTATGACCCCACTCAGTCTGCTCTTCTTAAAGCTAAACAATTTGTCCAACATGTATAAGGCCTGATTTTTAGAAGTGTTGAGCTCCTGCTATTCCCATTGCTTTTATTCAGGTGATTGAGAGTGAAAGAACTTCAGTACATCTGATGATCAAGCTGTATTGTCTGGTGCCCTTTAAATACTGATAGGTATGAAGGGCACAAATACTGTTTATAGCTGTATATGTGTATTCTTGTGTTCACAATAAAAGCGTATTTATGGGAACTGTGACCAGTCTTCTGACTGCATCCACAGGGCAAGAGCAACTTCACAAAAAGAGCAGATTTTAGTGGAAACTTGGCTGCATTATATGCCAGGCTTTGCTGAATCATTTGGACTAAATAATTTTCTTTTTTTACTGCAAAACATACCTTGGCCAATAGTGTTTTGATTTGTTTAAATAATTTATATGGCTACTTTCAAAACAGTGTTCACAATTATTTTTTAACTATTTGCTGTTGGAAAATATACTGAAATCCTTTTCCATCCCAAAACAGAGGAGAGTGAGGTTTCTTCCTATAATGGGCGTCTCATCAGGAGAAATGGTGATTTTTGTGCTTAGGGTACTGGAGCAGAGTTCCACTTGGCATCACTTGGAAGGATGTTTATATAGTGAATAAGCTACAAAATATGATGCTATCATCTTGTGTTGTTTGTTCCAGGGTGGCTAGAAATAAAGCCCACTGTACCTGCTCTTTGTCTCTCCATTTCCATTGTAAATACAGCTTCCTTTCTGTCCACGTAGGCCATCATGAAATAGCTCCTTCATGTCATCAGAGGCTTTTGGTACAATTGTAATGCAAGCAACAATAGCTCCTTGTATTGGTTCTCATAAATGTAGGGTTATGTATTCTGCCTTTCTGGAGAAAAGAGTTTTTGAAATGTCTTGGTTTTTTCCTCTTAGACCCTCTCTCCTAGCCTTGAAAAATAATTTCCTCAGAAAAATACAGAGAACATTTACAATTACAAAGTAAAAATAGCTGCTCTAATTTTGGGCTACCTGTCATTCTTTATTTTTTTTTGGGGGGGAGGGAAAAAACCACATAGAAGGAGAAGAGAGTCAGAGAAAAAAGAAGGCTTTAAAGGTATTTCTCTGTATGGCTTTTCATACCCAGCCATGTCTTTATTCTTATTCAGAAGATTTCATCAAACTGCTGGAAATAAGAATAATTGTGATGGACATTAAAATACACAGGGACCATAAAGTGTGAATACACAACTTTTCTAATCTTGTTCTGAAATGGTAAACAAAAATAACACTGAATTTCACCATTGACAATAAAGCTGAAGTAGTGTCCTATGGTATATATATGGTAATAGGCAATAACGTGCAAAAGATGAAAGTGCAAATCATACCAATAGTTTTATTCCTAGCCAGATTATTTCCCTGTAAACACGTACATTTAATTATCCTGTCATCTATCTTCCCCTACTCCATAGGCTCAATAATTCATCTGTGCTACCTTCATACTACAGCTCTTCTCCTATATCGCTCACTCACGAACCCTGCCCTCCTCCTCCTTCCAGACACACACTAAATCTTCCATTGCTCAATGAATGGATTGAAATATTAAATTATAATCTTTATCGTCTGTACTGATTGAAGGATATCCTGTTATTAGGGCCTGCCTGAGTTTGGTTGACACGAACCCATCCATTGCTGCTCTAAGAGTGCAGTAAATTTTACAGGCCATCCCATTTCTCTACCACACAAAGCAAAGGCACCAGCAAGGTGTTTGGGGATAGGTGGGAAACTAACAACAAAAGCTTAAGATGGCTAAAGGGTCCCTTAAGGCATAAGGGAAAATAATATGATAAATTTTAAATCCACATTGTAAATGTCACCTATCTATTGCACAAAATTTGTTGGGGTGAAAGATAAATCATAGTATATTCCTTTACCTAATAATAGTATAGTATAAAACTACATGGTTTTGCTTTTTGACTGATGGCAGGAGTAGGCATTAGCAACCTCAGCAAGAGAGCACATATCCTCATTGCTTGGTTAATGGATTAAATCTCTATAAAAAGTGAGAATATTTTCTCAGAAAAGAAGTTTTAAGCTTGTGTATGACATCCAGTGTCTTGAGGGTTAGTTCTGAAGGTCTGACAGCCATCAGCAGTCAGGCACAGGCGGAGTACACTTCAGCGCACTGCATCTCAGTGTCCAGACACAACAGCCCTTGCTGATGCTGAAGCCAAGGACTGCCCTGATCCTACATCTATCATCTGAAGCATTCCCCTTACCAAATGTAGCCTTTGGATTAGGTCCCAACAGCCTACACTCGTTTCACTTTAATCACAGAAACTGTTTGAGAAGGTCAGGAGTGAATAACAGCCTTTATCCTGATCACAACCCAACAGTCTCACATGCACTCAGATAGTGTCATACAGAGATACCACATTTCTCAGCAAGCAACGCCTTAGCAAAAAGTGTCAAATTATTCACTTAGGAAAATCTTTTGGCTAAAGCGTTCATAAATAGCTTCATTCTTTTGGTTCATGACATCACTACAATCCCTTAATGAAGTTGTAATTCAAGGAAGCTAATTTGTGCTCTAATTATATATTAGTCTGGGCTGAAAGGTTTCTGGATGGAAAAAGGTTTTCTTCAGGCAATCTTTCATTCCGCTTACTGTATTTACTTAATAAAAAGCAGTCCGCTTTTACTGTGGTTTTTCATAATAGAATTGAGCTGTAGTGTTACCTAGCTAAGGGCAAATATCTGCAGTCACTTTTGATGGATTCTGATAACAGTCTTTAACAAGAGCAAGGATTATTTGGAAATGTAGGAAGAACCAGGCAAAAAGCTAACAGATGTGCTGCTGAAAAAGTTTAAGAGCCCATCAGCTGGAATGCCTTCCAGATCAGTGGTAGATTAGCAGCCAGGTAGTTTAAGGAAATTCAGAGAAATACTTTCTTACCAATAAAGAAAGTCCCCATGGAAATAATTTTTCCTGTGTCACTTGAAAGGAGACATTCTTGCTTTGGTTTTTGATACTTCTGCCACGAGATGAAAGCCCAGTGTTGTTCACAATGTGCAGGATTCAGAGCATTTCCACCTAACTGAGGCTTTCTAAGCAGAGAAGTACTTTAGGAAAGCAATTAAGTCCTTCAAAGCTATGGATCACCTTTGTAAGGTGTGTTTCTGTTTCTTCTGCTACCTAAGGTAGACAACCTGTTGATGCAGGTCCTCAGCAAAGCACACATAGTTTTTCAGGAGGAATTCAGCTTAAACAAACTGAATGACAAACTAAATAAACTAGTTAACAAACTAAATAAAACATGTATCTTCAATATATCCCTGTTTCGTGTGCTTGTGTTAACATCAACTTTGTCCAATAGATAAATCCTGAGCCAAATTTTGAGCTAGTATAAATTAGTATCAGTTCTCATTTTGCCGAATCTCTCCTAGCATCTAATGCAGAGGCTGATCATGGCACTAGAAGTAAATTTCTGTGCCATCTGCTATCTGCAGGATAAACAGAATCTGCAGGTAGAAGGAGCTATACTTAATACAAATGTGAATAAGAAGGATTTCAAATAGGATTCTTGCTGTTTGGATAATAGCTTCCTGTGCACATCATGAAGGTTTTCCAAAAATCAAATCAACAATTTCTGGAAGCATTAGAAGCAGTTGTAGTCTCTTGTGCCAGCAGCGCTTGAGCTTTCTCTGAGACTTCTGGTTCAGCCTCTGTGAGGCAGCAGAAACAAGAGGACGTGAGCTGATGGTCCCATCCATTAAAGCAGTTCTCATGTCCCTCCTCCCAGGGCTGACTGCCTCAAGCTCTCACCCTTCTCCCCCATTCCCAGCTGGACCAGCTCAAGAGTCAGGAAAAACAAAAAAGAAACAGACTTGACAAGGTGTTTCACCTGAGAAAAAGTGTGGAGTAGATCAGAACGCATTGACAAAATACTGATTTTATATGTCTCTTTTCTTTTGTTTTCTTCTAGAAAAAGTAAGCATACTGTCAACCTTCATCGCACCCTTCAAGTATCTGAGTCCTGGCACAACCACCATGGAAGATGAAGACAATTTAAGTAAGCATTCTCTTTTCTTTATAGACAGATGAATAATAAATTTTAAAGATAAAAGCTTTACGGTGTAGAGGCAATTGTGGAAAGGAGATGGATTTGCAAGTATTGGCAGGCCATAAGCCCAGTCCTCATGTAAAATGCAAAATTCCCTGATGCTGAGTGCAAACATGTTCTCCAATCTTCAGCGAAGGAAGGGTTAATCTCAGCTCACCTTCCCACTTTTCCCTGTACAGACCTTGGCATGGTGGGGCTGTAAGTGGTGTGTCACAAGTACAAAGGAAAAAGTTCTTAGAAGAGGGAGATGTTTACATTGAGGTTTACAGGACTGTGGAGCTCCTTCTCCTTTCCTGTTTACGTTACCTTATTTTGTTCACTTGCTTTTCTCCCAGTCCTTAAAGACAGGACATTTTGATGCTGTGTCTTCCCTCCCTTTATGTTTTCTTGATTACAAAAGGACTTTTTCAAAAGTAAAGACTGCAGGAACAAGCCCTCAAGTTGAAAAACTGTTTTCTCATTTACTTCTGTGATATGACCTGGAGAACAAAAATAAAAGAAAAAAAAAAATAAAGAAAGAAACAAAATCCAGTTTAGAAGAGATGGTTAACCAGGCTTAAATAAACTAGTTGTAACCCAAAATTTAGCCACTGGATTCTCTTGGGCCCTTACACCTGAACAAAGTCACTGACACTCCCTGAATGGTGAATGCAGAGCTGGAGAAAAGTGCTGCTGGGTTTGAAGGAGTTGTGAAGTCTTCAAAACACCAAGAAGCCTGGGAGTGTGCAGTTAGGACTGAATAACCCTCAGTAAGCCCTCACATTTATCACCTAGAAGCAATTATTATGTTCAACCCAGCCCTGCTTATTGTAACACATCTTGAATCTTAAAAAAAGAGGGAGGGAAGCTTTCTGAACCAAATGAGCAACTCTCTGAGTTTTAGTATCACCTACCAGATGGGTTTCTTTTCCAGCCAGACACACACTGACATGCTGCCCTATTAGAGCCCGTGGGTGGGAGGAATGGGCTTTTTTTTTTTCCCATTGTTGCTAATCTGCCTTGGTTTCATCATGGTGTGGCACCAAGGGGAATAGCTGGTGAAGGAGTGAAGGAGCACAGCCCTCTGTTTTCTGCTGCTGAGTGTCACATGGACATCACACCATTCTGCTGCACAGGGACCGGCAGGCTTTTACATATCTTAGCAAAGGCAAAAAAAATCCTGAAAATCCTTCAAAATTGGTCTCAGGGAGGCTACATTTTCAGGAAGAGATATGAGAAGTCACACAGGAAACATATTATGCACATGACGAGCTTGTGCCGGCACCTCCTGCGTAATGTTTCCCAAATGGGCTGCTTAGCTATTTTTAGGTAACGTAGGAAGTTTGTACAAGCCAAACACTGTAACACCATTTTCTTATTGCTGCTGTAATGCCAAGACTGCTTCGTGCCGGCACCGGCTTTAAAATAGCTCACATGGACAGGGTAAGCTGTGTTTTCTGAAAAAGAAATAGCAAATTTCACTGTTTTAGGGAACATCCTGCCTAGTCCTCTCTTGGGTCAAACATACATTGCAGTGATAAGGCAGCAATTTGTTTCTTGGCACATACAACACATTTTTAGGTGTTACTATTAGAATCTTTTTAAAAAACAAGACAAATTCATTTTAAATTAGCCATATTTCAGTGTTCACTTCCAGCATAGTGGTATAAATCGCACTAATTTCTATAGCACACATGTACCTATATAGTAATTTGGCATTTTAAAGAGCTTCAGTGATTTGCTCTGAATAAGCAAAACCTTCTTCTGTGCTAACAATTTAACAGCAGCCTAGGAGAATGCTGGCAAGATAGAGAAGTGGTTTGTTTATCCCTGTAGTTTTCTGCTCGCTGAGCATCCTGTGAGAGTGCCCTGTCCCAGACTGTGCTACATCAATAGGCAGAGTCCCACTAGCTGAAAGGGATTCAAATTCTGTTTCACATTCCTTTAGGCCTTCTTTACAAAGGGAGCCCTGCCAGGTTAACTACACATGCATTTTCAACTGGTGATTATTAGCATATAGACACTATTATTGTGGTTTACAATCCATGAACTAATACTATAACAATGTATCGAAGGCACTAAGCACCTTTGGAATGGCATTTTAGGTAAACTGATCGTCAATCTCTGATGAAGACCTTATCTTGAACATGCAAGAAAAGGACCACCCTATTCATTCCCAGAAGTCAAAGTTAGCTAAGCATGTAAGAAATGTCATGCAGGATTAGAATTAAGAAGTTTAGCTCTGTACACTGTCTTCAACATTTGCTGTTTGTGATGCACTGAGAAAAATGTGATCTTCCCCTTCGTATATCTTTCTAGCACCCAGCAAGAAATTTACTCAGCTAGATTTTGCACCTGAATAATCATATTTCTTAGACATCAACAGACCTGTCTAGTCCTCTCTGGAGCCCACTGATACTTCTGATCGCAACAACAGCCAGGGAGTTCAGTGATTTAGTGTGTTGTCAAAAAGTGCACCTTTTTATTGCTTCAAGCCTGCTGTCTCCAGTGCTTGGATTGCATGAAACAGTGAATAATCATGCCCTGTTCACTGCCTGCCTGCCTGCCTTTCATGATGTTACGGACTTCTGCCTGTCCCTGATCTTTAATCGTTCCATCCACACTGTGCCACGGCATCAAGGCAGACTATCACCAGATACAGGTACTTACAAATCTAGGGTGTACCTCCAGCAGGAGCGTATGATTCCTGGGGATGTCATTGTGCAATACTGCCATATCCACAGACTTGGTGCAGCACCCTTCTGGGGGTATGTACCTCTCCCCAGTGCCTGCAGGGGGACCTGGTGGTGATGGTCCCCAACATACAGATTTCAGCCACTGCAACAGTCTTGCAGGATGAATCCCGGCCCCAGATTCAGTGTATTGAAGCATATTCAGTTATGAGCTGGTTGGTCAAAGTCCCCCTCAGGCTGCGTGAGGCACCAGAGCTTTTGATTGCACAGTGTAAGACACAGCAGGGACCCTGCCTCTAAGAGAACAGTGAATAAACCCTTCCAGCAGTCAGAGCCCCAAGCAATCTTCCACAGAATCAAACCCCCTGTTTTTGTTTTGAAACCTGTGTCTGTTGCCATCGTTTGGATTTCTCCCATGCCTAAAGCTAAGCTATAGTCTGGTCCTGATTCAGGAAGGCATGTACCTAGATCCATTTCTGCCATGGGCTGCCTACATTTTTTGCTGCATGCGCTTGCTGACTTGGAGTCTGAGTATCATCTAAGTTACGTCACTAAGTCATTTGAATAATTTCCCTAATTGGTAAGATCTGTACTAGATGTGTATGGATTTCACAGTTATTTCAGGTAATAAGGTGGGAAAAGTTGAGTATCTTCATTCTGGAACAGCTAAAGGCAATGGCAATCACCTTTCACAAATTTTTCATCTTCACTTTAAGCAAAGTCCTAAACTTTTTTTGCACTGATAATGCTTCCCTTCACAGTGTGGTGTTACACACCAATAAAATCTAACAATATTGTTTTAAACAGGCTGAACACCACGAGCTGGCAAAGAGGGTTCAGCCGCACAGAGAGATCTGGGATGGTTTCCCTTAAGTAGACTTCTTTCATGAAGGTTTAAAAATACATATCTGTGTGTTTTCATGTAAAAGAGGAAGGAGTGATTTCTGTTGTTAGCTACAAGTTTATTATTCTAAAATCAAGAATACAAACTTAAAAATCCTGGCAGAAGTGTTCCCAATCCTCTGTTGTGTATTCAATAAGTGTATGAAAATGCCATCTTGCTTGCAAGAGGAGACTGCCCTACATTGTATTTGATGTAGCAGCTGACCTTGGACAAAGGTACCATGGCTCTGGCTCCTGGGTTCATACCTATTGCTTCTGATTTAAAATATTTCTCTTTCAAGTATGCCAGGAATTGTGGAGGTCAGTCCTTCTAACCTCTGCAGTCAATGTGAAGTAGATGGACAGCAAAAATGTACCCTACATAAGCAGGTCAAACAGGGGTTAGATATTAAAACGCAGAAAATAAAAATTAAGTCCTACTTGTATTGTTGAAAATGCGTTGGCAGCAATCTGGTGTTTACTAAACATTTCCAAAGACAGTAACTTCCTGTGTCAGAGCTATCAGTTGAATCAGAAGTTTGCTATACTACAGAGTTTGCAAATTCTTTCTTTCAATATCATAGCTTTTCAATAATGTACTGCCGTTTGTAATTCAATAGTAAAGACCCCAGCCAAAATGAAGATGCCACCTACCACTTCTCCTTTCCCATCCTCCCTGGAAGTTGGCTTGGCAGCAGAATAACCTTCAACAGGAACAATATTATCTCTTCAAATGTAGCGTGGAGTATCGGATGGCTAGTTCTGCAGAGCCCTTATGACCCAGAGACGTAGGCAGTGTCATTATTAGTGATGCATTATAGTTCTGAAAACCTCTTGATGATGCAGACTCTCTAGGTTAACTCTACTGTGCATAATGACCAAAAGGAGAAAAACATGAAAAAGTAGAGAGAAGACTGAGGAATAGTGCATAAGTAAATCTATTTCAGTGTTTTCCTCTCTCCCATTCAATTATTGAAGCAAATACAAGACTGCAATGTCTCCTTTTGCTTGTGAAACTGCAAAAATCAATGAATAAAGTTACCTTAGGAAATATTACAGTGCAGAGGTGTGGGGCTTTTTTAGAAAGCTTACACAATAAATTAGAAACTATTGCCAAAAAATTGTAATATTTTTTTTTCTCCTTTTTTTTAACTCCCACCCCTTACAATTTTATTATTCCCCAACCTTTCATCATAGGAGAAACATATTTTATTACCTTTTTTTTTCCCCCAAATGTAGAGAATGTGTTTTGGGAACTCAAAAGCAAAGACATTATGAGAGATAACAGGACTGAAAATGATCCACAGTTTTGCATTTTGCCTGTGTGCATCCTCTGACTTACCCCTTTCCTTTTTGTGCTCTTCATTTCTAAAATTGCTTGTGATTGTTCTATTACAGCTGCTTACAGTATTTATCTTACATAGTTTGGTGTCATTTGCCTGCTTTGTCTGATTTTCACAATAGAAGTACATGTGCCACCATTAGAGAGGTAATCTTATGTCTTCTACACAGAGGTCTCATAAAAGACACATTTCAAAGACCTCCTATTTCAAAGATACTTGAAAGTATAAAGTAATTTCACATTGCCGGGCAGCTGCCAGGTATCACACAAGTCCATCAGGCTCACAGACTTTCTGAGGCACTCACTGAATTTAGGCTGCCTCTGATTTACATGCTGTGATGACTTTTGGCCTGCTGCAGCACTCACTGACGTCTGTGAAGAACTGAGCTATTTCCTGGTGTTTCAGGACCAGGTTCTCTAGAAATCTGGTTGACTGTAAGGGTACTTGCATGGATTTCCTTTGCTGTGACTAGGCCAAAACATACCATAAATAGAGGCACGTCACCGACGTGTCATGCCCAGTGCTGTCTACATATCCTTTGTGCCTGACCTCTGGAAGTTTTACACTTGCATCTCTGCATTTTTTCCACTACATCAATGCAAACTCCCTGTTGGCCAAAACCTAGACTAGACAATTTCATAGACAGAATTTAAGGCAAACAAGTAATGTTTATTTTATGTTGCCATGTTTTTAGTTATCCACTGTTTTAGTGAGAGTGATTAAGGTAAGATGTTAAGGTCACACATTTATGTTCACAAATCTGTGGTTCTCTGACTATGAAAGAAAAAACAGCTGGAATAAGACAATATGAATTATAAATACAAATAACCCCTCAAGTTTTCCTATTCAGTGGTGCATAATCAATACAAATTCTTTTCAAACCTGAATACTGTGTGAAGCAAGAGCTATCTTTCTTGTCATGCTTCCTGACTACAATATAATTATGTACCATAATTGGCTCTGTAAAAACCTATTAGGTAAGATGTGAGAGGAGGTAAGATGTGAGAGGAGGTGTGAAATACAGAAGCAAACCTGCTTCCTGCTAAAAAGTATGTCTGAGTCAAAATATTTCACCTTTATTTAAAAAAGTGCACACAACCAAAGAGGCATATTCTGAGTGGGGTGGAAACATGAGAAAGGGTCACAGTGGAAAATGGCTGGCCAAAGCCACTGCCAAGCTAAATAGAGGAACGTTACAGTTGGCATCTCCTTCCCCCTCAGATCAGAGTTTCCATAAATAGAGTTGTGAACTCGATGAGAAAAGACCACATTATCCTTGTGTCTTAGTTAACCTAACCTTTTAAATGTCTGATTTCCAGAGAGGCTGGTTTAAAGATGTCATATTTTGTACAGCTGAATGCCATGTGATGAAACTTTTCTTTTTCTATTATGTATTTCTTTTTCTTTCCTTCTTCGCCTGTCTTCATTCTCTCCCCTTAGCTTCAGAAAGTAAAAATTAACTAGTCACTAAGACCTTAATTTGTCAGTTCACGTTCTGCCTCAGCAAAGCACTGCAGCACATAGCTCTGCAAGTAACTTTGGTGAGACATAGACATAGGCTGGAAGCTCAGTGTGTGCTGAAGGGTTTTCAGGAAAGGGAGCCTAAAGACTCAGTCCTGCAAATGGGCCCCCACACATGCATCTGAGCCGTGATTTTTACTCATGTCTAAGCAGTGAGATGCTTTCTGTGAAGTTGCATGAGTGCAGACTTATTGTTCTGATGGGAAAAAGTCCTTTGATATTTCATACAAGTGCAACTCATCAGGATATAAAGGAGGTTCTTAATCATGATGGTTAGTTCCACATAATTCTCTGCAGGCTCCTGTGCATCTGTCAGCCCAGCCTAATACTGGGCTGCAGCAAAGACACACCGCTCCAGCAGAAGCTCCTTGAGGCATAGCCGGCAGCTCACCCCTTGCAGCCAGCTTGTACATCAGGGTAGAAAGGAAACCAAATATGGCCACAGCCCTGCAGAAAGTGGGAGGACCATCCTCTGTCCTCTAAGGACCACAGGGACCTTCTCTGTGCTTGGGACTCACGCAGCCTGCGCAGGTGGCATGCTCCACACTCAATGCTGGTTGGAATACAGCAGGCAGCCAGGCAGTGCTCTGCTCAGAAAGGGATCAGGTGCATCACTCCACAGATGGGTTGCTTCACAGGTTGGTTACACTCACGTTTACTTCTTCAACTTGTCTCTGCCCCAAGGAATGCACAGGAGGACTGGAGGATGTATCGGAGGTGCAATACATTTAAACAAACTCATCAGGAATGACAGAAATGTTACAGGATGCTTATTTAGACAGCAGCACATTTTCTGTCTCATTCAGGACATCAGTGAGATGAATCTCTGTTCTCAGTCATGCATCTGCTGTAGCAAAGAGCACTGCCTTGCGTCATGGGTGTTGCACAAGCATAGTTCAAAGCAATGTGTGATTCATTGGCTCAACAACAACAGAGTGCTCCCTCCATAGGTCCCCGCTGTCATTTCATTCTCTTCTTGGTGGTCCTGGGAGTCACCCTCTCCCATTGCTTTTCTTTACATAGATTATTCTTTACATCAGTAATTACTCCCACCATGATGCTCTGGCTTTTCCTAGTCTCATTTAGATTTATCTAGAATTTTTGCAATATTAGTGGTACCTGATGCAGGAGCTAATAGTATCTGCGATTGAATTTGACAGAAATACACTCACTTATTAAACTGGAATCTGAGTCCAGACCAACTTATTATTTCAAACGTTGGGGAGGTCTGTGAGATCATTTCTTAGGCTGGATTCATGATGCTGGCAACACAAGACTCTATGGTGTTAGTAGAGCCGGTTAATGTATTCATTGCAAATAGATTATTCAATGCATTTGCCCATTTTTCTGTTTGTGAATCATTTGTGAATCATTTCTGATTTCTAATAATGTGTTCATAAGCATTCACCCACATGGATTATAGAAAAAAGGGAACTTTGCAAACCATTCACTTTTTACTAGTAATTATCCAGTGTGAATGCAGTAGATCATTTAAGTCACATGGCCACATGGCATCAGTTATGCTTCATCTTTGAATCATGTAATCTGTTTTTAAAACAGGAGGCTAATGACTAATACAAGTAGAACTTTAGGGACAAGTAAACATTCAGGACATGCAGAAAATCTGTGCTATAAATCATCAACCAACCACCATACAGGTATTTGAGGAAAACCCCCAAAAAGGGCTGAGAAAGGATATCTATGATTAACTTTTTTTTCTGTTTTGGCTATTCTTCCAGCCCTAGGCATAATGTCAGCTACTATGATGACAACTGTAATGTGAGGTTTTTTCTTTCTTTACTGACAGGTACCAGCAGTGCAGAAGTAAAGGAAAATCGAAACATTGGCAACCTGGAGGATCATCCGATATCCTCTAATGAGAGGGCAAGAGGGGGAACAACTAGCAGTAAGAGAAAAAGACCCTTAGAGGAAGGCAATAATGGCCATTTCTGCAAACTCCAGCTCATCTGGAAGAAAGTCTCGTGGTCAGTGACGCCAAAGAACGCTCTGGTTCAGCTACATGAACTTAAACCAGGTTTACAATATAAAATGGTTTCCCAGACAGGTCCAGTGCATGCTCCAGTCTTTGCTGTTGCTGTGGAAGTAAATGGACTTACATTTGAAGGCACAGGACCCACAAAAAAGAAAGCCAAAATGCGTGCTGCAGAGCTAGCTCTGAAGTCATTCGTTCAGTTCCCCAATGCCTGCCAAGCTCACTTTGCCATGGGGAACTGCATCAACCCATCCACGGACTTTACTTCTGATCAGGCAGACTTTCCAGATACTCTGTTCAAGGAGTTTGAACCATCTACACACAGCGAGGACTTTTCAGTCTATAACCCCGTTAATAACGAATTGCTTTCCACTGCTTATCGACACGGGCGCTTACTCTGCCATACGCTGGACTTAATGGGCCATGGTAAGCAAAACAAGCACAAGATGGCATCCAAAGCGGAGAGCGAGAAGAACCCGGTGGTGCTGCTAAATGAGCTGCGGTCGGGCCTGCGGTACGTCTGCCTGTCAGAGACGGTGGAGAAGCAGCACATCAAGAGTTTTGTGATGGCGGTGCGAGTGGATGGGAGAACATTTGAAGGCTCAGGACGTAGCAAGAAGTTGGCCAAGGGTCAAGCAGCACAGGCGGCCCTGCAGGCCCTCTTTAACATTCGGCTGCCCAGCCACATTCCCAGCAGGAGTAAATGTCACCATTTGCCACAGGTGAGAGCTCCTGGGTAGCCACCACCACGCTGCAGGAACTCTTTCGATGAATGGGATCGGTATTGCTGTAGCTGTTGTTGTTCTACCAGACGGTTCCTTTGCTGTTATAGCAAGTACCATGCCACAAAATAGCTCTTTTCTCATAGAAAGAGCCAGATGCCACAGGCAAAAGCTTGAAAATCATGTCCTGAAATCATTGGGTAGAATTTGCAATCCTTTCCATAGGAGGCATAGATGAGAGGGCAAAATGTAGGTGGAAATACCAACATTTCAATGTGCTAGAGAGAGTGATAACATTGACACAGGCAGAAAAATCAGGTCATTCTGTGGTACAGCATCTTTCTTGACAGAAAGGAGCCCATAGACAAAGGGATGCCCCATGTCCTCTTCTTAGAGTTAAGTTTTGACGAGGACAGTGCCGTTCAGAGGAGGCAGCAATGACGAGGAATGTGCCTGTGTCAGAGCAAACTCTCCAGACAACTCTGCCACTAGAAAAGTTAAGAATTTTTGTTTATTATAGGCTTACTTTTGGGGTTGTTTTTTTTGTTTTCAAATATATCTCCAACAGCACAAGGGGTAGTGAAAACTGTAAAGTTTTCCTGGAACAAATGTAGAGATTACTGCTGTATTCATACAGAAAATATAGATCTGAGGTACATACTTAGCACATCAAAATGTCATAGCTGGTCACATGCCAAAGGCTATCTTAGCATTACTCAGACTTGTGTCAATTTTCTAAGTTTAAAGGAAGCCAGGATTTGCGGACATTGGGAAGCATTACATGGGTTCAAGTAATTTCTTGATTTGTTTGTGTTGTCAAAAAAGGTTTGATCCACCAGCACCAGGAGGTGATCTACCACTACAAAGCTCCCTTTATGAAGGGAGCTGTTAATGTCCAGGATTTAATGCAAAGCACCGGGAGCACTAAAAGTCATTCTGCTGCTGGCTTGCTGTGAGACCCTAGGCAAGTCATTTAAATCCAATATGCCTGTAATAAAAATGAGCATATTACATGAAAGAATACTTCAAGATCCTTAAGTAGTGTGTAAATGCAAATTATTAGTAACAATTCTCATTAACATTATTAAAGATGTTCATTAGATGTTCAAGGAATTTTATAGGATATGAATCCTTTAGGTAACATGATTGCCTGCAGGACCCAGGAATTATATCTGGTGACCCAGTAGTTTCCTTCCTCTGTTTCCAAAAAGGAAACATGAGAAATGTAAGAAATTCTAAAATAAGTCATAATCCTCCACATCTTTCTTTTAATTCTGGTTTGTAAACTCCATGAACCAGTGGGATAATAACATAATTTAATAACAGCAGTGATCTTCACAGAGTGCTTTGCAGATATTTTGGAAGCCTTGGCCAACCTGGCAGTTCCATCCTCCCAGTACTCCTCCAAAGTACTGATAGTTGTAAATAAGCAATCTATGCTTTTTCCTGACCGAATTAATTCTGGTAAAAAGTAGTTTGTTTTGATGAAGATGCCTATCCTTCCCATGGAAACCTAGCACTTGGATATAAAGAGGAATCTCTAGTCAGTGAACTTTGCTGGGTGGGTTGGCAGGTAAATACCATGCATCCATCGACTGGTGGTTTGTCATGTTCTGAAACTGCACCACAAGTATCATTGCCTCAGTTCCTGAGCTCTCTGAAATATTCCCTGGCTGCTTGGCTTCACGATGATCTTCTACCTGAATATCACAACTTGCCTGGGTCCACAATTGTTCACTAGGTGACACATTCTTCAGTGTATATTCCCTTTTTTATGGCCTTTTCTCCTTTCTGTAGACTTCTGCCTTCCTTATCTTCTTCTCCTCACTGTTCTGGAAGTATAAATGTCAGTGAAAAGGTGTCACTGAACTTTCTCTGTCAGTATTTTTTGAGTGGTTATGTATTGTCCAACTAAAAGATTACTCAGGCACTTTTAATGCCAGCATTCAGCATATTAATTGAGAGATAAGCCTTAACACTGATTTTTGCTCTCATCAATAGACACAGCAGCCATGACACAAAACTCGAGTGTGTGTTACTCACTTAAGTCATAACTCAACTTCCACTGAAACCAACAGACATATTTCCACTGACTTCAGCTGGGCTATAGCTTAAGCATTAAATCCAGAAGCATCTTTACTTGTTCTTGCTGTTATGCAGTATCTCATCAAGTGACTGCTCACTGCTTCAGTCAGCCCATCTGGCTGTTTGGTCAGTTGAAGCAGTGGGAACCATATAGGGGAGAGCGTAGTTCTCACTGAGCTGTGGTCAGAGCCAGCTGCTCCAAAAGTTGTTTCAGCTCCTTCATGTCTCCCTGATCTTCTGCAAACCCCATTTTCAAGGACACATTTCAAGGCAAGTTTTCAAAGTTATTCCTACTTAGTAGGCTCAGCTTGGTTTGTGTCCAAAAGTGTTTAAAAGCAGGAGAGCACCCTGAAAGCCAAACAGTTTAGGGATAGAATTTGAAATATTGGGGGGGGGGGG